GTACCCTATCACCCACTCAGGGATGTGATTGCAATCTGGCTTACACTTATGAGGTTGCAGCATCCTGTGGTCATGTGATTGCCATTTGCGACTTCCCCTGTTGTCTTTTCAACAAGTAAATCTGTGGGAAATCTGAGGGGACAGGTCAGGGGTGAAATGCTCCCGGTTCGGACCGGATTGCCCGATCCAGTAGTGATGGAGGCGGGTGGTTCAGAGAACTGGTAGCAAAAATCCCTGCCCCTGCCCCCCCCCGCCCAGCTGAGCCGCACAATCATCAGAGGCTTTTTTTTTACTTTTAAAAGCATTTTTTCTACAACCTCTTCGGCCGAAAAAATGCTTTTAAAAGTTAAAAAAAAAGCTTTTGATGATTGCACAGCTCAGCTGGGATCATCAAAGGCTTTTAAAAGAAAAAAAGCCTCTGCTGATCAAGCAACTCAGCTGGGATTTTCAGAGCCTTTTGAAAGCATTTTTTTACAACCTCTTCGCCAAAGAGATTGTAGAAAAAATGGTTTTAAAAGTAAAAAAAAGAAATATTGGCCACACTTACTCAGTCACATTACCCCCACCACCACCAAGCCACACCCACAGAACCGGTAGTAACAAATTTTAGATTTCACCACTGAGACAGGTGGCAAGTAACTTAAGAAAGTCTCCCCCACCTGTGAATTTTCCCCCAGCCCTTCTGTGCTCATGCTTCATTGGCCACCCCTGCACAGTCCCTTTATTTATTAAATCTGTTTGCCAGCCATCTCGCTGCAAGATGACTCTGGGCAGTAAGCAATAAGACTATATGCAATATATATATGAGAGAGAGAGAGAATAAATTTCACTAAAAATCCAGGTTATGATTAAAAGATGGGATGGGAGGGAGCAGAATATACGGAGTGGGGAGTGGGTGTGTGTGGGATTTATAACCACATTGCTTAGTGATGGAAATCCCTGTCCCAATTGCCATTGTAGTTCAAGGAGTATCTTAAATATATTTAATTTCACTTTCTTAATATAATAATATTGACATAAAAAGTTGATATTAAAATTTATAAAAAATTTTTTATAGAATCTGAATTGGTACTTTTTGAAGGTAGTTTTTTAATACATTTGCCTTAAAAGTTACAATTTATCCTAATCAAGAAAATGTTATATTTTTATTAATTGTCTTGATATATTTCTTAACTATCGTCTGTAAAATGCAAACCCAGATATTTCATGGAATCTTTTTTAAAGCTTTTATTAAAATTTATTATACTATACAATGCAATGAAAATCAAGATTAAAATGGGGGCGAGGGGATGCAGGGTATAAAGGGGAAAGAAAAAAAAGCATTGATTTCTGCCTAATTCCAAAACAACAGGGTAATATGGGCCACTATTACACTGTACTAAGTACATCTTCAGTCTCAACATTTTGCCTTACATTTAGTTATTACAATCCATTTCTATAACACCACAATTATTAACTCTTCAAACTAAAATTTGAATTCCATTTTTTCTATTTTGAGCATAAAAACCAGAAATGATTTCCTAATAGAAGAGGACTAAGTACACTATCTTTTTTGTTTTCAATGATCTTGTCATCTCAGCCAAATCCATTTTTCCCATTGTGAAAAATGGGAATTTTATTATACTTACCTATTAGATTTTCTGCAGTATCATCTATAATGACAAAATTCATAGTATTCTTTCAAGTTCTTTGATCAACTTTAAAGAAATTCTAAACATTTCTTAAAAATCATCTTCTTTGCAGTTACAATTAATTGTAATACATAATTTAAAAAAGAAAGGTTTTTTTCTCTCATATTATAATTCATTTTTGATTTCCCATTGCTCAAATGTTATGGAAAATAAAAAATCAATCTTCTTTCTTTCCCTCTTCTTCTTAAATATAAATATTTCTGTAATCAATTTTTATAATATTTTATACACTTTAAGAATAACTTATTTATCCATTTTCAAACACAACTTTAAAGTACAAAGCAATGAGTAAATCTTTCTTTTAATTTTATGTATTGAACCAATAAGATATCTGATACCAATTAGCCTTTTGAATTTTAGTCACTCTCTGCAGCATGTGCTCATGAAATCTTTCTTCTTCAGAATGTCTATTGCATGAATATAAACTATTTTTCTCAATAGATTCTCAGATAATGGCTTTCAAAACAGATATATCAGCCTTGTCAATTTCAATTTTAATTCTGAAGTAGAAAACCAAAACATGTTCTCTTGTGGCCCGTAGTCTTAACTGCAATTCTTCTTTCAGCTGCACTGGGAGAGTTGTAATTAAACCATCTTCATAGTAGACACTGTTACTGTCAGATCTATATTGATCTATATTGAAAAAAGAATTGAGTCCCTTATGATATCAAATATTTGTGTAGTAATTTCAGTGGTTTGAAAACTTTCTACACTTGAGCATTTCTGGATTATCAATCTTTCCTCCAATTACTGGAGTATTTTGCTCCTCTTTTGTAACATATTTAGAGGATAGGCTGTCTATAAAATAAATTATTTTGTCAGAGTATTCCTCCAAGATGTTCTAAGTTCTTTTGGCATTGTTCGTCTTTGGTTTGATTCTTTATCACTAGTCTTTGGCTCCCTCTTGTGGTCAAGAAATAAATCTTTAAAACAAGGTCTTATAAATCTGGTATATTTTGGGCCAGTTTCAGTTAAAATGAAGTGGGAGATTTTAATCTCTCACAACAAACAATTCAGAGTTGCAAAATATAACTCCTAATGGAAATTACAAATTCATAAAAAGACAACATTAAACCACAATTTGAAATGTTTATGTTTTTTAGCTCATCACTAGCAGCTCATCATTATTGTTTAGCAATAATAATTCCCTAAAATTGGACTAATCTTCACAAAGGACTAACAGTCTATGGCTGAATCTATACTTCCTTTCTACTTCCAACAAAAGGTCAATATCCAGTGAGGAAACAGGATTTTAGAAATAAACCACAGGCTTTAGGGATGGTTGTAGTGAGAATCATGACTCCCACCCCCCACCCTCCATTCCATGTCCCCAGGAAAAGAAGAAAAGCAGCTTTTCTGGCTGCTCAGGCAGGAACTAAAACAATTAATGAAAATTTCAAAGAAAAGAGCCATTTGCAAGAGTGGCTTCTGTACTTCAGACTAACGCAAACAGAGGATTAATAAAACACATAGAACCTACTAAATTTACATTCTTCTCCCTTCCCCAAGGCTGGACTCGACTCCTTCCACCACTCAGAAAGCCAGATAGGGGCAATCAAAATACCAAAGGCACACTGTTAAAGTAATCAAATACCCCATCAGGCATCTCAGTCACAAAAGCACAGAAAGGTATAAAAGTCATTTCTGCTCACCCTTGCAGTCTGTCAGCTGACCCACCACTGTTGTCATTGCCGTTTCTCTGGCTTCCAAAATAAAAGCCTCCTTTTCAGCAGATGGCTTCCCGGCTTCTTATTTTGTTCATCAGTGCTGATCCAGGGGAGAAATGCTACCTGTTCGGGCTGGTTCGGCCAAACCAGTAGTAAAAAATATTACTGGTTCACCGAACTGGTAGTAAAAAAATGTAAAAAAGTTCCAATGATCAGCTGTGCAACGTGCGATCATCAGAACTTTTTTTTTTTACCTTTTAAGCATTTTTTTACTACCAGTTCTGCGGAACTGGTAATTAAAAATGCTTTAAAAAGTTTTTTAAAAAAGTTCAGACGATCGCGCAGCACAGCTGTGATCATCTGAGCCTTTTTTTTTCTTTTCTTTTTTACTTTTTTAAAGCATGTTTTTACTACCGGTTCGGGCGAATAGGCATGCAAAGGCAAGTGCAGGGGTGCTTTGCTCTCACACTAAGGCGCTGGCCATCGCCACTGCCGTGAAAGGGCAACAGCTCTTTCATCCCTCTGCTGCAACAGGGCGACAGGGAGCCACAGCAGAGGGATGAAAGAGCCGCATGCGGCTCTGGAGCTGTGGGTTGCCGACATCCAGTCTACACCAAATATTTGCCAAGCAGTTTAACAACATACTGCAAGAAGGTGAGATTGAGGAGTGGCTAACATCTGGCAAAAGCTACCTGATAATGAAAGATCCAGCAAAACGGATAGCACTAGGCATCTACTGGCCAATTACCCGATTACCAACAGTTTTCTGGTGAAAAATGGGCTACAGGACACATGCCTGTTGGCTGAGCAATTAGGGCCAGCAGCTGTAGAATTATTGGAAATAGCAATAGCACTTAGACTTACTGTATTTTTCGCACTATAAAACGCACTTTCTCCCCCCAAAAATGTGGGTAGAAATGTCTGTGTGTCTTATAGAGTGAATATTGTGGTGGCGGGAGGGTGATTGGCGTGTCATTATAACAGGCAAAGAAAAAAGCTAATGGCAGGTAATACTGAATAACCAATTTCCTCGTGTAAAGGGTCTCTTGCTATCAACCTGTCAAGACTGATATACATAATTCACCCTGCTCTATTTTGAGAGCTATGTCAAACACCTTCTGCGGGTCTATAGCTCTAATTCTTAATAGTCCTGTGGTATAAAAAGCATGTTGGTATAGACAATTCTGAATTCTGGCTTTCCAAAAAGAGATAATCTGACCAAGAAGAATGTGGTAGTCAGAAAATTGATGGAAAAATGATGTATGAGCAGAAATAGAGCTAAGAAAGCCTTAGATTTGAGGGGAATATGAAATGGTTTATTAGTTGTATGCAAACAGACACTGACCATATTTCATAAATATTTTAATTTATATCCTACATAGAGCAGAGGATTGGATGATGATTTAAAAGTCTTTTCCAATTATCATTCTATGGTTCTTTCATGTAGATTCTGAGGAAATGAGAACACTTTTTATTTTAACATCTGAATATGACACTTTGCAGGGTGATTGCTGACTCCAGTAAGAAACAAAATGTGGGATATAAATTTGACGAATATATAAAATACATACAAATTAACATTTAGTATTAAATTAAAATGCATTGTATTAAATAATTAACATTTTGATTCTGATTCTTAAAGGTTATCCTTTTCCTACTGCTCCTCCAGTAGATCCATTTGCAAAAATTCGAGCGGATGATTGTGGAAAAACAAAAGGATGCTTTAGGTCAGTATGATACAATGAAAATTTGTTAATTGTTTCTTTTTTAAGTAAAACCAATCTGACCTATGAACAAGGTCATTTTATAAATCGTTTCAATAAATATATCTTATTAGCAATAACTTATTGTAACTCTGAGTCCATGTGAAGTTTCCCAGTTGTGAAGTTCATTTGTTTAGACAACTGAAATATAGATTATAAAATCTATATATAAAATGCATAGATTATAAAAAAAAACTTCCTAAGAACAGAACACCTTTGCACTATGTTTTGATACCATAAATCATGAAAATTTGAGTGTTTTTCCATAGGAAACAATAGGAACAAGACCCTTGCTACCTTGATGTATGTCCTAAATTCACAAAGATTGAGTAAATTTTTAAAAAATCTACATAAAAATAAACAATTTTTGGTAATGTCGATCTACAGAACTATAGCACTTAGCTCAGCAAAGAAGCAACAACAGTGGGGTCATTTCAGTAGAGCCTATGAACTACAAAATATCGACAATTGTGGTTTGTTAAAGCTTCTTTCCTGTTTCCATTTGGCAAACTGACTGTAATGTTCAACCAACAAATAAAGTAACATTGTGTTTGAATTGATAATCTGAAAACTCACCATCATAGGAACAGTATATGTAAAGCCCATGCACAGTTTATATTTTGACTTGTATAACCTGGCTTAAAAAGAACACTGCATCTGTTTTTGGTCACCATGATACAAAAAAGATGTTGACACTAAAAAGAGTGCAGAGAAGGACAACTAAGATGATTTGGGGGACTGAGGCTAAAGCATATGATGAATGGTTGTAGGAACTGGATATATCAGATTAGATAGAAGAGAAGGATTAAGAGTGACATGATAGTAATTTTCCAATATCTGAGGGACTGTCACAGAGAAGAGAGGGCTATTCTCCAAAGCACCTGAGGGCAAGACAAGAAGTAACGGATGGAAAATTATCGAAGAGAGATCCAATCTAGAATTAAGACAAAATTTCCTGACAGCAAGAACAATTAATCAACTTGCCTCCAGAAACTGAAACTATGGATGCTGCATCACTGGAGATTTTTAAAAAATATATTGAACAGCCATTTGTCCAGAATGGTATGGGGTCTTCTGCTTGGGCAGGGACTTGGGCTAAAAGACCCTCAAATTTTTCCTTTTCAATTCTGTTATTCTGTATTAATCCGAAGACATGGAGAATTCAGAGTTCCTGATAATACATAATTTTAAAACAATGTCAGTGACAGTAGAGATGGAACTGTTTTATGGATAAATGTATGGCTTAGAATTTAAAAAGGCACTTATGGAACACAGAAAAACAACATGGAATAAAACTCCTGCTTTTGGCCGCATTTTGAAACAATGCTTCATTGGAATGTTTTGTCCTGAAATTGAAATACTGAAAATGGCCATGTTAAGCTCAAAATACGTTTTGTACATCCTTACTAAAATGGTCTAGAATTAGTAATTACTTCTTCTCACTTGAGACTGACTTGAAAGCTTGCTCTGTAAATCTTATTGTTTCCTGTCATCTTACTGAAATGGCTTTTTTCAATCACATTATAAAATTAAATTCCATTGCAAATTATATTTGTCTTGATCTCTGTTGTTCACTTTTAAGCCAATAATCATCTATATTATTTTGGCATGTGTTTAAACTTAATTTTCTTTTCACCGTTTTCTCTTTATTCTTGTTTATCTATAGTCTGAATATTAAATGTTACCATGTTTTATCTTGAGTGGGACATTCGCTGTCAAAAATCAGGCAATATCTAATGGTTATTATAAAGAACACTATTAAGGATCTGTGAGATCTTAATGTTGTTCTTTACAAGAATTTTCATGACACAGTAAATTTCATACAAAATTTAAGTAAAAATTTGGGACATGGAGCAGCTGTAGCTAATGATAACTAGGACTATCATACCTGAGCTGCAAATTTCCCAAGAACTACTAGGTGACAACAGAGATATTTATCTGGATTATCTCTAGAGTATAGATTATCTCTCTATAGTATAATCAAACCAATTAATTAGGCATACTCTAATGAGGAAAAAAACTGCTTTAGATTTGTGACTTTAAAGTACATTTGTATGCTATAGGTACACAAATATAATAATATACTGCCAGCATGGCAGCTATCCCCCATCTTGTGTAGATGAATCTCTTTTATTATCTCCTTTATTAAAACGATGCTCCTAATATATGCAGGAACTTTAAACAGTCCTTGACCATTTAAGAGATTAGATCAGGTAGTACACGAGGTCATATAAACATGAGATATGTATAATATAAATCACATGGTATATCATACGTTATGCCGATTGGAGCTCACAAAAGGAAACTAATGACTGAGGAAACTATGGAGAAAAGTTTACATAAAACAATGGTATGCTTCAATACGTGAATACATAGCTACCGTGTTTCCCCGAAAATAAGACCCTGTCTTATATTTTTTTGAACCCTGAAATAAGCTCTTGGCCTTATTTTTGGGGAGGTCTTATGATTTTGGGGCACATGGAGGAAACCAGAGGAAATGGCGGGGATCGGCTGCACATGTGTTTAAATGTTTTTGGGGGGTTATTTTCAGGGGGGTTTATTTTAGCACATTCGCTCAAAAGCTCGATTGGACTTATTATCAGGGGATGTCTTATTATCGGGGAAACTATAATATTTCTGCCTGGAACCCTAACAATTACTTCACCTTGGAACTTCAGGCACCAACATCTCCTAGACTCCAACAACTGTGGGACAGTGGGATATGCCTCATGCAGGTAAGGAAGGGAAGGGGTGGAAATATGTGGCAATGTGTAAGTGCTATGTTTACATTTTTCATTTTCTTATTGTTATAATCATTTTTGTCTAATACTCTTTTATTTCCTAATAATGTTCTCCGTGCATTGGGGAGGAACTCAGTTCTACAAGCAGGAAGACCCTAGTTGGAAAAACAAGTGGGTCTACACAATCTACTGCAATCCTATATTCCTGAACATGTTTCTTGGATCACAGGCTGAATGCACACAGTGGAATCTGTAGTTGTGTCACACAGTATTTTACTACAATCTTCAAGGAAGAAAGAGTATGTATATTCACAATTACTATACTATTCTCCCTATTCTATAAAATAAATCATTTGGCACTCAAAATCTTTCATTTTCCAACCAGCATTTGTGCAATTAAATTCCTGCTATTGCCTCCAGCTTGATACCTTATCAATATCTCCTTTTCTTTTCCACAGGTGCCATTTTGCACAAGATTGATTCCATACCACATTCCATCAAGAATAGAAAAATGACTGGAAATTATGACGAGGATGCTTCCAGCTATTTTTTAAAAATTAATTATTTTGTTAAATCATTTGCTCCAGGGAAACTTGGGTACTTTGAAAACTTCATCACAGATATTTATCCTGTAGTTAAACTATCTACCATAGAACTTGTGCTACAGAAGAAACATTGTACTCTTTGTCAACCCAGTCATTCAGAAGATCTAGTGAAGTGACTGATTGATGATTCAATTTGTGCCTTTCCCTTTCAGAATATTTGCCATTTTGGATGCTGATCTCCAGAGACTGACACTACTTTATTTATTGTGCTCAATAGTGATTTGAAGGAGCTTATTCAGATGGCCAGAGGAAGGGAGTTGTTTAGAAGGCAGAAATGTTTTGGGTTCAGGGGCCTTTTGTGGGGGATCAGTGTTGACTTCTGGAGATTGGTAGAGAGGTTCCTGAAGTTTTTTTGGCATGATTTCAAAAGTGGCTTTCCCTTGACTGCTTCTTAGGATTAGAGAAAGTCTATCTCAAGATCACTCAGCTGGCTTCATGCCTAATGTGGATTAGAATTCATCTTCTCTTGGTTTCTAGCCTATGTGTTAATTAACACACCAAGTTGGGTCTTTCAGAGGATCATGGATTCACTCAAAGTGTATAATTATAGTGGCTGTTATTGGTGTATATGAAATAGTTTGATGAGGATGGGTAGAAGGATCCTGGCTAAGATTATGTAGGTATGATGGATTAACCCCAAAAAAAAGTTTTGTGTTGGTTTGTCATCTTTTCTAGGTGAAAAGACTAGAATAAATGGGTGGGTGTTCCTTCTGGTAGTCTCAAATATGAATAGATTTGTGTTATTCCAAATTTACATAAAATAATCTTGCTGGGTTAAGCTAAATCCCATAGCCAGGTCTAATGGTTAAAACACCATGCTAGGAAGTGGGAGATTATGAGTTCTAGTTTTGCCATAAACATGAAAGTCAGCTGGGTGACCTTTGGCCAGTCATTCTCTCTCAACCCAATTACCTCACAGGTTTGTTGTAAGGAAAATAGGAGGAAGAAGATATGTTTGCCACTTTATTTGTGAGGTAGAATACAAACATATAAATAAATATTTTAGTTTAGCATTTTATTTCCCTCAGTGAAAAACTAGATGCACCTGCAATGCTTTCAAACAGGAGACAGAGGCACCACTTGACACTACTGTTCCTCTTCAGTTAGTTTTTGGGGCCAATGTTATCAACAAATATTTATATTTATTAAATTTATTGGCCGCCCATTTTACCACAGGTTAACTCTAGGTGGCTTACAATGTTAAAAGAATAAAATTATACAAAACATATACACAATACGAACAAAATAGAATAAATATAAAACTCAACCTTACCTAAAATATGGAGAGGGAGGGAACAGGAGGGAAGGTGGAAACTGTTATTAATCTGTCAACCATCTCTAATGTGAAGATCCCACCCCCACCTCCATTGTAACTTCAGGCCAACTGGTAGAGTCAAGTCTTAACCTCTTGCGAAAGGTCAGGAAGGTTAGCGCCAACCTCACTCTGGGGGGCAAAATGTTCAAAGGGCAGGAGCAATGGCAGAGAAGGCTCTTCTCCAGGACTCCACCTACTGGAATATCCTAGCCTAGCTAATAGCTCAGCATGGGTGGAGTGGCCAATCCCATTGGGATAAAACAGTTCCTCAAATAATTTGGAACCATGTCATTAAGGGCTTTAAAGAAGATTACCAACATCTTGAATAGCACCCAGAAACAAACTGGCAGCCAGTGCAACTCATGGAGCAGTGGTACTACATGGGTCATTCTTGGCACTCCAGAAACTGTCTACGACACTACACTCTGCATGAGCTGTAGCTTCTAAATGCTTTTCAGGATAACCTCATGTAGAGCATGTTTCAATAATCCAAATGCAAGATGACTAGTGCTGGCATTAACTGAAAATGCTGAGTTTACAATTTACAGAACTTAGAATTAGGCACATTTGTATGAAACCTAAAGTGCTTTATTACATCTGAAAATTATAGGCTGCACAGTTTTTGTACAGTTTACATCCTGATACCAATACGGTGAATGACTCTTTATTATGGACTGTGACAAAATACAAACACATGTCAAAAGTAGACAACCAAATAACTCACATGTTCATTACATATATAGCAGTATATCTCATAACAGAAGACAGCAATAGAAGTGAGAGACATGGCTGTCTAAAATAGCATGCCCTCTGGTTGCTATTTCAAATGTCACGTTTATTTAACATTAACTTAACATTGGTCAAACCTATGAGTCAATGTTTGTATAACTGATGTTGCCATGCCACAAACATTGCCATGCTGAGAATAATAGTGTCATATCTGCCAAAAACAAGGCAGTATAAAATTTACCTGTGCTATTGATTAAAAAGAGGGTAATAAAGACAAAGTAGATGTTACAACTGAATGTCACCTAAGACACAATGTACTTTTCTGACTTCTCTTACTCCACCCCCTTCCAGCTGGACAAAAACGTCCACATACAGACATACCTACTACTTATTCAGTGACCATTCAACGTTGCAACTTGGTTGACCAGTACTTATGATTGGTCTTCAAAGTTCCAGCCATTGCAGTGCTCCCATGATCATATGATCATGATTCAGATGTTTGGCAACTGGCTCGCACTTGCAGTCATTGCAGCATTCAATAGTCACATGATTATAATTTGCAACCTTCCCTTGATCTCCTTGCACTTCCACAGACCCATCCTCATTTTCTCTCAGCTTAGACTTCTTACACTGACCTTCACCCTCCTTCCCTCACCCTTCCTGTGCTTGCACTAACCCACATCCTCCTTCTCTTGATCTCCCTGTGTTTGCATTTTTTTGGGCTTCCTTCCACACACACTCCACCTCCAGAAGTATTCTGTAGGCCAAAACGGCTCGGGTTTTTTGGCCAAAAATGGGCCGTTTTCGCCCGGGTTTTTTGCCTCCTTTTATCCCATTCCCTGCCTGCAGGTCCTCCCCTGCCCACCTGCGCCCTTTGGCCTTACTTTTGCAACAGCAACGTGTGGTGAGCGTTGAACCATTGAAATGAGCAGAAGTGGGAAGTGCGGCTGGACAGTGGATGATAAGGGCAATGGCTGGAGGAGGCCTCCCCAGGCCCCCCATCAGTCAGGAAAAGCCAGCATGGATGCAGGAAATGGCTGGGAGGAGAGGGGAGGGGCTTAACCCCACCACTCCACGGGCTGGATAAATTGGGTCAGCAGGCCGCGTTTGGACCTTGGGCTGTAGTTTGAGGATGTCTGCTCTAGAGCCTCCAAAAATTGCACAACAGCAGGGAGGCTGCAGAGGTTGGAAAAGAGCATTCCTCAAAGCCACTTCAAGAACAAAGGCCTTGTACAATCTGGAGCTGTATATAAGGGCCTGTTGGATACATAAAAGTCTTTTAGTATATAAAAACTAAAATTCAAATTTCCAAACAAGTTATGGGAACTAAAACGTACAAGTATTTTCCTTGACTAAAAAAAATATTTTGAGGTCAGATTGAATGTGCAAAATAAAATGGAACCCTTGCATATAAAGTACCAGCACATTTTTAACTCAATAACTGATCAGTTTGGTAGAAGATTTGATCAGTTCCGACGTTTACAACAGACTATTAAAATAATCCAAGAATCCAGATGTCATATAAATCCAGAGAGTCATATAGAACTCTCTGACAAACTGAGGAACAAAAAGGACAAGTGTAAACAATGGAAAGAGAAGCACATAAGGCAGAATACCAGAAACTAGCCCAAAATCTACAAAGATGAAGTCAGAGGAAAGCTAAGGTTAGAATGAGCTAAGACTTACAACAAATGTCAAAAATAACAAAAAAGGTTTCTTTCAATATGGGAGGAACAAGAAGAAAGTCAAGGAGACAATTGGTCAACTAATGAGAAAAGATAGCAAGGAGATGACAGGCAGCAGGAAGAAAGTGAACTGTTTAATTCCTTCTTTGTACCTGTCTTCATGCAAAAGGGAAAAAAAATAGTCCAATCGATCAAAAAAGCAATTCTGTGGGGAAACAGAACAGGAATGCAGGTCAAAATAGGCAAGAAATTGGTAAGAGAATACCTATCCACTCTAGACGGTTCAAATCTCCACCCCATGATTCAGAAAGACCAGGCAGATGTGATCTCAGAACCACTTAACAAAATCTTTCAGAGCTCATGGAGCACAGGGGAACTACCAGAGGACTGGAAAAGCTGACATGGTTTCAATCTTCAAAAAGCTGGACCCAAGAAACTACAGACCAAACAATCAGACACCAATATCTGGGGAAATAATCTGGAAGCAATAATCAAGCAGCAGATTCATGAGCACCTAAAAATGAACAAGGCAATTACTAGAAGACAGCATGGGTTTGCTAAAAACAAACCTTATTGCATTCTTTGACAAACTGAATTAGTGAATCAGGGAAATGTTGTGGATATAATACATCTGGATTTTAGTAAGACATTTGACAAAGTAGATCACAGCCTACTTCTTGGTAAGGTAGAATAATGTGAGATAGACAGTACCACCATTAGATAGATTTACAGTTGCCTAACCAAGTGCACCCAGCATGTAGTCCTCAATGGAGCTGCATCTACGTGGAGGAATGCATATATTGGGATACCTCAGGGTTCTTTCGTGAGTTTACTGCTCTTCAACTTCTTCATAAATGAGATGAGGGGATAAAAGGGGAGCTCATCAAATTTTTACATGACATAAAGTTAGGGGGGAATTGCAAACACTTTGCAAGATAAATTCAAGACTCAGAAGGATCTTGAGAAACTTGACTTTATCCAATAAGATGCAGTTCAGTAATAAGAAAAGATTTTATACATTGTGTAAGGTCCTGCATTTAGGTGGGCAAAAAACAAATGCATAGGTAAAGAATAGTCAGTACTTGGCTTAACAATAGTAACAGGAGGATCTAGGTGTCTTGTTCCACCATTTAAGTATAAGCCCACAGTATGCTGCATCTGCCAAAAAAAAAAAAAAGCCAACACACTCCTAAGACTGTGTCAAGAGAGGGCTAGCATTAAGATCACGAGAAGTGATAGTACCACTTTATATTTGAGCATTGGGTCCTATCCAACAAATTGCAATTCAATGGTGAGAAAAGGTTTTACAGTTGGACTAGAAGACTTCCAAGGTCCCCTCCAGTCCTATGATTCTGTAATTGTTCGATTGTCAAATATGTATACAAAGTACTGACAAATGCTGAGTTCAATCAGCTCAGCTCATAGTCTAGTAGAAAGAAAAAAGGCAAGTACCATTCTTGACAATGGGAGACTTCTTCAAAACACTCAAAGCAAAAAAATACACTTTGATAACTACTGTTGCCCAAATTTCCAGAAATAAGAGAAAATGAAAATGAAATGTATTCCAACCTGCAGTATTCCATGAAAGTATTTTGTACAGTGCTTTGAGTTGCCTATTGTAATGTCAAGCTGTGGGATCAAAAATTGATACTCCCCTAGTGAAACAACAAAGTTGTTTCAAACAAATTAACAGATGCTTAAGGGACTGTTGCCTATTAGATACATCAGGCATCATCAAATTCATCAACATGGAAAATAGTTGTCTTATGTGTTCTAGCCCCAGGCTTTAAATTAATGGCTTATTAGATAATCTATTGGGAGTTATAATTTGTTTTGTGTGTATAAGGAGAAAAATATTCTGACATCTCATGAAACTATAACTAGGATTCACAGCAAGGAGCAAAAAAAAGGCTCTGGAAAAATTAGGGTTGGGCCACTATGATTAAGTAATCTTATTGTTATTTGGTGTGCAAGCCTTACAGTTTTCAAGGATTGCACATCAAATAACAACAATAAGGATTCAGAGTATTTTTATGTAACAACTTCAAAATGATATTTTAGCAAGTCAATATTTTTACTTAGTGCTGCTAGTTAAAAAGGCACTGTTCATAATGTAAATGAAGTAAGTCTCTGAGGTCTTCCAAATGATATTTGAGAAGTAATCACTACCTTTATTGGAACAACTGACAAGAATGCAGAAACAGAAGACAATTTGTTGTATCTATTGTTCTAATAGAGTACTATAGGATTTTAGTTTTCTAGCTCTGATTCCAGCACAAATTGTGATTCCAACACCTCATTGTTTTTCAGTATTCAAATAGAATTTAATATGCCCAGTATGCTTTATGTTTTCTTACCAATATTTGTAGAATACCAATATTTGTAGAATACCAGTATTTGTTGAATACAAGAATTGATACTGTATGTAAATTAGTAAAAAAAAAAAACTAAACGCTATAACACATAATTCAATAAACCCTTAAATAAATGGGGAGAAAATTAGCAGTACACTAACCTTGAAATAACTGCCAATTTAATGCTGTTTATCTGCAAATACAGATATAGTTCAAGAGGAAAGTTCTTTGAATTGTTTCCATTTCCTTTATCACATGTAGGTATGGTAAACCTGGATGCACTGCAGATACTTGTGACTATTTTCTCAGTTACCGCAGAATAGGAGCTGACATAGAGTTTGAACTGAGTGCTGAAGCTGATGGCTGGGTAGCTGTAGGATTTTCCTCGGATAAGAAAATGGTAAGAATGTGTTCTTTGCTGAAATAATTACTGCTTTTTCTTGGAGAAAAAATATTCAAATTATTATTTGAATAAAAATAATGACAAAATGTAGCAATATGATATATGTAGCATTTTGCACAATTCTAATGATGGGACAGAATGACAGAAGTGTGATAACCAATTAAGGGTGATAAACAATTTTAAATAAATATTTTTCCTTTTACCTCCATTCCAACAAACAACCCATCCACTCCCTCCAATGGTCCTATTAGCAGCATAGAGATCAATTCTATCATTCCCCAAGTCTCTGATAGTCTCTAGGCTTGTTGGTATCACCATCCAATTCCAAGTCAGCTCTCCAATCCTATCCCCCACCAGCCTTTTTATTTATTGTCTTACAGCTGTTATTGCCACTGTCATCCTTGCCATTTTAAACCTCTATTTTCCTGACCAGAATAGGACCATGTTTTGCTGCTTCATTATATCTTGCCAGCGTTTTGGGTTGGCTCAGCATCTCTTGCCTCCAAATTTCACCCTTAGAAAATGGTTTGGTGTTGCTGCCTCTGTTGATACAAATGCAAAAGTAAATGCAAATGTCATTGGCTTGACTCAGCATCTCTGATTTCTGAATTACAGGTGGAAGCCTGGGCTCAGCATTCCCTTGCTTTTCCTTTCTCCTTTTCCCCAGCTCTGGGTCTCAGCTCCATGATTCCAGCCCCAGCTCCAATCTCTAGCTGGTAGCCAGTCCTTGCTGAGCTCTCCTACTCATTTTGGTGTCAACCAGCATCAGGCCACAGTTTCAGCCACCAGCCTCACCATCGGGTAGATAAACAAAGAGGATAGAGGCAAGGGATAAAGATAAAGGGGTAGGAATGGAATATGGAATGCAGTGAATCAATAGGGGTCCTTCTCCCTTCCTCCCTTCCTAAGTGAAACTTTATCCAACAAGGAGAGTATGATCAGTTATGTCTTGGTCAATTTTAACAACCAGCTGTGCTGGCTCCATATCCATTGCCACACTTGCTTCCATACAGCTGACCAGTGCACTAAGTGTTGTTGCTTAGCTCTGCTCTCAGCTGGCTCACAAAATTACAGAAAATTTAATAACTAGCCAGATATTAAATTGTTAGCCAGTATAAGCCTATTCCAGCCCCCTTCTCTTCCATAAAATCTTGTGGCCTTTATCCTACTAGTTGAGTAAATAAATTGTGCCTATTGATAGCAATTTGATTTGATCCTATTTTGGTAAAAAGGTGGGCTTAATATCATAAAATGGAAATCTTAATCTAGGTTTATCTGTCAGCTCTTAGAAATTGTTCAGACAAGAAGCACCAGTCATGTTTACTGACATTATCTTTATTTGTAAGGTTACAAATCGATAGTTCTCACTCAATGACTATCCAACAACCATTCAAAATTATTATGACATCGGAAAAATTATAATTATGATTGGTTCTCAAAGTTACAGTAAGTTGCAGTACCCCACATTATATGATCAAAATTCAGGCAGCATATCCCCATTTTCAACCACAACATGCACTTTAATTTCTCCCACCTGCCTATCTCCTCCCATCTCTGCCCTTCTGGCTGCCCTGCATCCTGCTACCACCTATCCCTGCCATCTATGCTTTGCTATCTTCTTGCTCCCGCTGCTGATAAGGCATGTCCAGCTGAGGTAGCTGTTGACCCTTTGTGAAGCCTTTGCAAAGCTTCCACAATGCCCACACTCAAGCCTTTTAGCTGTCCTGCACTCCACTGCCAACACCATCAACAGTTACCTCTGCTATCCCACATTGCTCTCAACTGTACTTTGCCATCATCTTCCTCCCTTGAAAGGACCAGCAGCTGCCTTGCCCAGATGCAGCATGAGGAACAAGACAGTCAGGATCAGCTGGGGGCAGCAGAGGGAGGCAGTGCCACAGTACAAGGCAGCCAAAAGGCAGTTATCAGAGAAAATAGGTAGGTCAGAGAACTTGAATGAAGGCAAGTGCAGCAGGCCAGGACAAGCATGATATTCTCTCAGACCATCATAATATCTCAGCAATTTGACCCTTATCTCATTCTCCAATATTGAAATCACTTATGCCAAGATTACCTATCTTCATATTTCAGTAGACATTTTCAAGTGAAATTCTTAGTTCATTTTTCAATTTAGGGTGGAGATGATGTTATGGCCTGTGTTCATGATGATAATGGAAGAGTCAGAATACATCACTTCTACAATGTTGGTCAGTGGGCAAAAGAGATCCAAAGAAACCCTGCCAGAGATGAAGAAGGTATTTTTGAAAATAACCGTGTCACATGTCGATTTAAGCGCCCAGTGAAGGTTCCCAGGGATGAAACTATCGTAGATCTCCATCTAAGTTGGTACTATTTATTTGCTTGGGGCCCAGCAATTCAGGGTAAGTTCATTTTTTATTTGGTTGGTTATCCTCCTCCTAGAGAAAATCTAAATGTCAACAATTGACATTTAATTGATAGCAATAGCAATAGTACTTAGACTTATATACCACTTCACAGTGCTTTTACAGCCTTTCCTAAGTGGATTACAGAGTCAGCATATTGCCCCCAACAAGCTCTTCATTTTACCAACCTCAGAAGAATGAAAGGCTGAGTCAACCTTGAGCCACTCAGAATCAAACTCCTGGAGTGAGCTGTGAGTTAGCCTGCAGCACTGCAATCTATCCACTGCACCACCACAGCTGTTAATTGATGGTAAATCAAACCAATCAACTGATTTATAATTTACTGTATTATTACAAAAGACACAGTAGATATTAAATTAAACTACACAAGGGGCTTGCATGGTTAAAGTTTGACATGATTATATACTGTGTTCTATCTTATGAGAGGAAACACCTGAATAAGGTTGCTGGTATATAGTCAAAGTAAAACAACCAAAAAATCTGATCTAAGGCTGGATATACAGGTTGTGTCAAGCTAAAGTGTAGCTTTCTTGGTTTTGACATATAATTGTCTTATCATATAATACTGTACTATGCTGTGCTATGCTATGCTATGCTGCAAACTAAAATGTAATGTTAAATATAATATAATATAATATAATATAATATAATATAATATAATATAATATAATATAATATAATATAATATTCAGTAACAGATAGTTGGATAGGGGCTAACATAGCATTGATTTCAAAAAACAACCATAATAAAACCCTTCATGAATAAAGTCTTCTAAAATTACTTTTATCCTATCAGGATGCAGTGGAACACTGGATGAACTTGTCGAATAGTGTTAGGCAATTTTACTTCTATAGTTACAGGGTTATAGGGTTGATCACCCTGACAATGGGGAATGAACCAACATACTGGAGACCCAATTTTTTTTTCAAAGGTTGTTTGGACTGCAAGTACTTTATAAAATACTTTGTAGAGAAGAAAACTTCATTTCTTACTTGAAACCCAGCTTCTGGTTGGATATTTTTTTTGTCTATGTATTTTTTTGTGGCTTTCTCTGGCTCCCTCCAGCACTTTGCAAATGATCAGTCAAGTATTTTGTAGGGATGGCATACAGTTAGCGATGGGAGGTCTGCCATGGGAGTTCTGGCATAGCCATGAGATCTTGCCCAGTCGCCACATGGAATGGTGTGAATCCAGTGCTGGAGTGCATGACATTGTTATAGGCCACCTTTGTGAAAGGGGAGATATTGGACCAATTGTCTTGTTGATAGTTGACATAGTAACAGAGGTATTGTTCCAGTACATGATTCTTACGTTCACAGCCTCCATTCGTTTGGGGATGATGTGAGCTGCTAAGCCCTTGGGACGTTCCCAATAGTTTTAAAAATCCGTGCCAAAAGCAGGATGTAAATTATATACCTCTATCAGAGATTATCCATTCTGAGGCACCATGGAGTCAGTAGATATGTTGCACAAAGAGTTTAAGTAAGGTCCCGAGGGAATTTTCTGACATGGCAGTAAGTATATTTGCTTGGAAAAAAGATCAATATTGCCTGAACTGTTTCCCATATGATGGTATTGCCTGAACTGTGGGGTTGTTCTACAATAAAGTCCATGGAGATTTCCTCCCGTGGGGCAGTCGGGCTAGTCACCATGGTGCTTTTGGGCTGTGGCAAACACAGGGCAGCTGGCCATATAGCTTTCTATATCCTTTTTCATGCTTGGCCACCAAAATTGACATCTTTCTAAATGTAGGGTTTTCAATCAATCAGATCAGAGCTGGAAGGGACCTTGGAGGTCTTCTATACAACCCCCTGCTCCATCAGGAGATCCTATTGCATTTCAGATAGGTGGTGGTCCAGTCTTTTCTTAAAAACTGTCAGTGATTAAGCACCTACAACTTCTGAAAGCAAGCGGTTAGGAAGTTTCTCCTTAATTCCAAGTTACTTCTCTCCTTGAGTAGTTTCCATCCATTTTTTTCTTATCTTCTGGTGCTTTTTGGCAGCCCCTCAAATACTGGAATATTGCTATCATGTCACCTCTAGTCCTTCTTTTCTCTTCCCAATTCCAACAACTGCTTTTCATATGTTTTTGTCTCCAGGGCCTTAATTATCTTAGTTGGTCTTCTTTGCACTTTTTCCAAAGGGTCAACATCTTTTTGTAATGTGGTGACCAAAACTGGATGCAGTATTCCAAGTGTGGCCTTACAAAGGCTTTATGAAAGGTACTTCATGTGATTTTGATTCTATGCCTGTTTATTCAACCAAGCATTGTTTTAGCTTTTTCAGCTGCTGCCGCACACTACTATCTCATGCTTAGGTGATTGTCCACTAGGACTCCAAGGTCCTTCTCACAGTTACTGTTTTTGAGCCATATTTCACCTAGTCTGTACTTGTACCTTTGGTTTTTCCTGCCTAGGTGTAAAATCTTGCTTTTCTCCACATTAAATTTCATGTTATTGGATAGGGTCTGTCAAGATCTTTTTGGATACTGAGCTTGTCTTCTGCCAAATTCCAACTTTACTTTCCAATTCAATTTCAATTTAAAATTTTTAACCAATCCTTTCAACTGCGGGCTTTTCTTCCCTCTTTAAACTTCTTTTAAGGTTCACAATCTTTTGGATTGTCAATTCTTCTCATTTATTTTTTAAAGTTCTCCAAATATTTGAATCCAGCACACAATCTTCTAATCGGGTTTTTTTTTTCACTTTGTAGCTTCCGCTTTACTCTTCTTCTTCCATCCTTTCTCCACGCCTATTAGCCGCTGTTAAACCACTAGACTTTTATAGTTATTTTAAAAATAGTCCTCTTTTTTTTCCCTCTCTCTCTCTCTTCTGCTTGTGATTTAGCTGTCACTCACCCGGCATCAATGTTCTGCTCACTTCTCTGCTCCTGCACAGTGCTTGATTCAGTTACCCCAGCTTAATTGGCAGTCACAATGGCCGCCACCTCCCGCTGCAGAGTCAGGGAGAGTTTCCTCTGACCTCCGAGGAACTTGCCTGTTCCTTTTGGTTGCAAGGTGCCTCTCCTTCTTACCTGTCCCTACAGGACAGATCCGGTCCAAAGACCTTTCTGCAGCGGTTCGTCAGCCTGGGATTTTGCGAGGCTCATCAGAGCCCACTAATCCCCGACTGTCTCGCCGCAACGCTTCCGGTCGAAATCCTTCTTCTGTCAGCTATTCCGGCCAGCTTAGTGTCATCTGCAAATTTGATGAGTTCCCCTTCTATTCCCTCATCTAAGTCATTTATGAAGATATGGAAGAGTACTGGGCCTAGGACAGAACCTTGTGGTACTCCACTGCTTTGTTCCCTCCATGTAGATGTAGTACCATTAAAGACTATTTGGCTTCTCAGACAGTTACAAATCCATCTGGTGATGATGCTGTCTATCCCACATTTTTCTACTTTACCAAGAAGTAGTTTGTGGTCTACTTTGTCAAATGCCTTGCTGAAGTCTATGTCCACACATTTTGCTGATCTACTAATTTAGTCACTTTGTCAAAGAATGAAATAAGATTGGTTTGGCATGATCTGTTTTTAACAAACCCTTGCTGGCTACTAGTTATAACTATTTGATTCTAGATGTTTACATTTCTGTTTTTTGGTTATTTTTTCCAGTATCTTCCCAGGTATGGATGTTAGACTGATTTGTAGTTTCCTGGTTCTGATTTTTTCTCCCCTTTTTTTTGAAGATGGTAACCACACCAGCACTTTTTTTTCAATCCTCTGATAGTTCCCCAATGCTCCAGGATTTTTGAAAGATATAGTACAATGGTTCTGACATAACATCTGTCAGCTCCTTCAGAACTCTGGGATGTAATCTGTCAGGTCCCAGTGATTTATATTCGTCAAAACCAAATAGGGGTTCTCTTACCATTTTCATGCTTATTTTAATTTTTATTTCTAGTCTGTCTTTTACAGTTATGTTTTTGATAAGTTGGGCAAAAGTTTCTTTTTACGTGAAGACTGATGCAAACAATGAGCTTTGCTTTCTCTCTACTGCCTATTATTTCCTTGCCATCTTCTCTCTTTAGTGGACCAACTGTTTCCTTAACTTTTTTGTTGCTATTTATATGTTGAAAGAAACTTTTTCTTAATTATCTTTGACTTTTATTGCAAGACTTTGTTCATTCTGAGCCTTTGCTTTCCTGACTTCATCTTTGAAGATTCGGGCTATCTGCTGATACTCTGCCTTAGTTATTTGTCCCTCTTTCCAATTTTTGAACTTATCCCTTTTGTTTTCAGTTTATCTCAGAGAGAGATTTTCATGCATGTGAAGTGGTTAGCTATCTTGGAATCATGGCATCATTCTAATACCAGGTTTCTATAGGTTGCCATGATGTAGAGCTTGTCCCCATTCATGTTAAACTGTCTCATAATGCCGTGTTGTTTTTATGTTGTTTAAACCACTCATCATCCACCAGGGTAGATTGCAACATTTGAGTGAGGCCATTAGGTAGCTGAGGTTTTGCTGCGTTTCTGCCCAGGTAATCACAGGAGCTGCAATTTGTTGGGAAGGGATGATGGAGTTAACAACCTCTATTCTGAGTGCCTCTAGGTTTTTGTGGTTCATCCACACCTGGAAAGAAATCTTACTGCCCTTGAGTAAATGGCACCAAGTCATTTAGGACCCAGCATACAGCAAAGGCTTCCTTCTCCCACACTGCCCCTCCATGCTCAGCATCTTAGAATTTCCTAGAAATGTAGGTGCAGGGTTACAGGACCCCTTGGGGTTTTTTGGTGAATAGCCCCTACAGGGGCAGTGTGATCTGGGTGAAAGCATTGATGAATTGTCAGTAGAAATTGCCAAAGCCCAGAAAGCTTTGTAATTATTTCCTCATGTGAGGAGCCTCCCACTCAAGTACTGCTTACACCTTCTCTGGGTCCATCTTTACCCCTTCATGCCAGATGCAATACCCCAAGTAGTACAGTTTGGTTTTGTGGAACAACTTGGCATAGTGTTGTGTTATGCACAGTGTT